GCTGCTGCTGGGGTCCGAGCGGGGCTTTACCGCACTGGGCTTCAGCTTCTTCTGTTTCCTAACTGGAGCTTCAGCTGGAGCTTTAGCAGAACACACACTCTCACCTACACACACACACGCGCAGCAGAACATCAGTATGTGTGTGAGGGAAGTTAGTGTATCCATGTGTGTGTGTGTGTCTGACCTGAGGTGTGTCCGGCGAGTCTCTTCAGATCCTCCTCGTACGCCTTCTGAGCCGCATCCTCCATCGCTGCGAAGTCTTTGGACATCTTCTTCTCCTGCTTGGCCTTCGCCACACTCTTCTTCCTAATCTGCAGAGTGGCGCGTCACACACACTCTTATCAGCACACACACACACACACACACCCATAATGCACAGCGGCAGACTGACCCCGCCTGACCCTCCCTGAGCAGTGGGCGTTCATGAAGAGCTCGAGTGTGTGTGAAGGTTTACCAGCACACCTGCATCACTGAGTGAACACAGCCAGCAGAGGAGGAGCGTGCCACTGTCTGACCTGTAGTACACTACACTACAGTGTACACTGCGCAGCATGCAGTAGACTACAGTGCACTGATATGCTGTATACTACAGTCTATAGGGAACAGTAGTCTGCATTGTGCACTATACAGTCGACTACAGTGCACAGTAGACTAGACTGTACAGTATGCAGTAGTCTACAGTATGCATGCAGCGCACTACACTTTGAATTGTGCAGTACTCTGCAGAGTGAAGTATGCTGTAATATGCACTGTGCAGTAGTCTAGAGTATGCAGTAGTGTACACTATGCTGTACTCTACATTGTGCATGGTGTTGTAGTGTGCACTTTGCAGCATTCTACAGTGTGCAGTATGTGAATGCTGTGGTATGCACTGTGTAGTATGCAGCATTCTAGAGTATGCAGTAGTGTTCACTGTACTGTAGTCCACAGTGTGCGACATACCATAGTGTGCACTGTGTAGTATGCAAGTCTAGCGTTTACATTATGTTGTAATGTGCACTTTGCAGAATGCACTATTCTACAGTCTGCATTGTGCACTATACAGTAGACTACAGCGCACAGTAGACTAGACTACAGTGTGAAGTGTACAGTATGCAGTAGTCTACAGTATGCATGCAGTGCATGTGAATTGTGCAGTACTCTATAGAGTGAAGTATGCTGTAATGTGCACTGTGCAGTAGTATGCAGTAGTCTAAATTATGCAGTAGAGTGTATACTGTGCAGTGTTCTACATAGTGGAGTAGTGTACACTATGCAGTACTCTACAGTCTGCTATATGTGAATGCTGTAGTGTGCACTGTGTAGTAGTCTACACTGTGCAGCAGTAGTGTTCACTGTACAGTAGTCTACACAGTACAGTATGCAGTACTCTATAGTGTGCATTAGGTTGTAGTATGCACTTTATAGTATGCTGTATGCTCCAGTACAGAGTAGTGTACATTGTGCAGTACTCTACAGTGTGCATTATGTTGTAGTGTGCACTGTATAGTATGCATTAGTCTACAGTATGCAGTAGTGTGTTCAATGTACTGTAGTCTACATTATGCAGTATACCATAATGAGCACAGTGTAGTATGCAGTAGTCTAGAATATGCATTAGTGTACACTATGCTGTACTCTACAGTCTACAATATGCAGTAGTGTGCGCTGTGCAGTAGTCTAGTGTGCACTGTGTAGTATGCAGTAGCCTCCAGTATGCAGTAGTGTGTACTGTGTAGGATGCAGTAGTCTACAGTATGCAGGTGTGTGCACTGTGCAGTACTCTACAGTGTGCAGTAGTTTGTACTATGCAGTATTCTACACTGTGTAGTATGCAGTGGTGTGTACTAGAGATGTATAGTGTCCTCTCACCTCTTGTATTTTGGCGGCCACATTCTCTTTATGGTTCTTTCCTCTCTCGTGGAACTCGACACTCTGCGGAGAAACACTGATGACGAACCAGCACTGAGTGTGTGTGTGTGTGTGTGTGTGTGTGTGTGTTTCACTCACGGGTTTATTATCCG